AAATACAAAGTGAACACATGCTGTTAGAAAAATGCCTCCAATAGACTTGCTCCACACAGGGTTGCCACAAATATTCAATTTGTAAAAAATGCAGTATCTGTGAAGTGCAATAAAGGGATGGGATGCCTGTATATGTAATTGGAAACCTTGAAAGGGAATAGGGCAGAAAAAAATGAAGAATGGCTAATACTTTTTTTTTTCATTTGATAACAACAATAAGCCAAAGATATAAAAATCTTAGTGAATTCCAAAAAGAAAAGAAAAGAAAGAAAGATGAATAAAATAAGACAAAGTCACAACATTAACAAATTGTTGAAATGAAAAGTAATAATGAGATAATGAGAATATATTAAAAGTTGCCATAGGAAAATTACTTATTACACATAGAAATACAAAGATAAGAATAATCAGATTTTTTCAGAAACTATGAAATAGAGAAACCTTTAAAGCACTGAAAATAAATAAATATCAACCTAGAATTCTATATCCAATAAAAAATATCTTTCATGAAGGAAGGTTAAAGAATTTCAGGTATACAAATGTTGAGAGAATTATTGCCAACAGCTATGTATTTTAAGGTATATTAAAGAAAGTCATTCAGGTACAGTAGAACCTGGGTGGTACAATTGGTTAAGCACTAGACTGCTAGCCAAAAGGTTGATGGTTTGAATCCAACCAGACATACCTCAGAAGACAGGCCTGGCAATCTGCTTCTGAAAGGTCACAGCCTTGAACACCCTACTCCGCAATGTGGGGTCACCATGGGTTGAAATCAATTCAGTGGCAGCTAACAGCAAAAACAATATTCAAGCACAAAGAGAATGATGCCCGACAGAAAATCAGTTCTAAAAAATTGAATGAAAAAACACTAAATATGGTAAATACATGGGTAAATATGAAAGACTTTTTCCCCCTCACTTTGCAAAATCTCTTTAGAAGATAATTGAATACAAATTATACATAAAAACAATAATCATAGATTGTGACATTTATAATAAATGTGGCAGTAAAATGTATAAAAACAATGTTGTTGTTGTTGTTGTTGTTATGTGCCGTCGAGTCAGCCCTGACTCATAGCGACCCCTCCTTGGGTTTCCGAGGCAGTAT